GTTTCTGGAGGGCAACAATCGTGCGCTTCCGCAGGAGAAATCGTTACAATGGCCTCTCACAAGCGCGCCGGAAGAAAGTTCCTAGCGATTTGCATAGCGCGCGGTGAGTGCGCGGCGAGCGACAAGCGAAGGCGATCCCGCTCTCACAAGGCTCGCGATGGCCTACATAGACATGTCTTAGTTTATTGTCGCGGACCCATTTCCGTGGGTGCACGACCACGACCACCGCCTGGCTCGCGGATCGACACACTTCGCTCACTCCGAAAGTTTCTCCGATAGAGAAACTCACAATATCTAATAGCACCGACATCCGTCTATGCAGATTTCCAGAGCAAGCCTTCATAGAGACTGTGACCTAAATACGGACTGCACAAAACGTACATGTGGAGAGAAGTTGTTTATCTTACGCACTGACAACATCTTTCGCCCTCCGCGTGAGATCACTTTATTGTCCGGCGTCGGGTCATGCCGAGAGAGTGCAAACACCATGAACACAGGTTAAAAATAAAATTGACAGTACACTCAGAATCAATGACAACATCAACTCGTTTTCATTGGAAATGGCTGGTGGGAAGAAAAACTTGCACTAGTGTTACGTTAGAAAGCGCAGGCATTTCACCATAAAGCCTAGAAAGTGTACATAAGAAGAAAGTGAAGAAGTAGGGGAAAAAATGTGCAATACAAGTGCACGGAGGCGCGGGAACGTGGAGCGGTTAGAAACAATACGCACTCGATCCAAATCTCGTAGTTTCCAGTTCGATCGCCATCACTTTTTCTCCCTAGATGAAACCGCTGCACTCGCTTGCACACATTTCTCGACACTCCACACGTTTGCCTAGTTCTTGTATCAATGCACTCATTTTTACTTTCTTTTCCGTTCGCTCTTATTCGTTTGTTTCTCCGCGTAGTTCCATACTATCATAGCTATACTATCTAGGCACATCGATCGACTCTCAATGAAAATAAAAACAGGCGCTTTCGTATTCCATACAATGCTATAGTAATAATTGGCTCTAGAATTTTCGATGACGTTTACCTATTGACTTTCTCGGTGCTATTCGATAAATTTTTAATAACTTTTGGTTTTATAATTGCAACAATTAAAATATAACAGTTAAATAAATATGTTTTTATTAAAAAATGCTAAAGGACAACATTCAACAGCTAAAAAGCTCATAGTAACTTACATTTAGGCATGATTTTGTGGCATAACATGTTAATTGCCGAACATTATCTGTCGGAATGAAGATTAATTTCCCGGACAGAGTTTACCTGAAAGTGAAAATCAAACATAGTAGACACATATATCCAGTGTGAGTACATGCAACACGTACATCACGCTACGCACGAGCCGCACATGCCGATGCGGTTCTAACAGCCATTTGTCGCTTTTTTATTACGTGATCCTGCCTCCGACACGAATATACCTATCTATTAGAAGAGAATGAAGATCGAATATTCTGTTATTACTTGATATTTTAATGACAGTTTCTTGTGTCAGTTCCGTTGAATAGTTCGGATGGTCACATGCGAGCAATAAGTCCGAGAGAAAATACAAACAGTCGATTCAACACGACATACGTGCACTTTATATTCAATCGTCGATTCGTATGCACAATATCCAACTGAAATTCAGTACTTAGGACGCCGGGTATTGTTCGTGACTAGTGATAGTCACGTGTTGTATAAGTTTTGTTTTACATGTATTAACTCGATTGGTTCAAATGTGATGTACTGCGTCTGTGTGCATGTAAAGCGCGTGGCATTAGCCGCCACATGTCGCGGACTGGACGCACGAGTCGGGAAAGCCGTCAGTCGCCAAGCGATGCGGCGACGTCGAGAGAAAGAGTGTGAAGGAGAGAGATGGGCATTTCACCGCGCGGGGTCAACGCGCTCGCTATACTGTCGCTGATTGTGCCCCAATTGCAATATGTGGGTCTAGGCCGGCGTTCGTCGACCCGCGTGACACACTTAGTGGCGCCCGCGCACGACCGCGGTGCTTTCACGCCCCACGCGCGGGGTGGGGGTACTGCACGGAAAGCTGAGAAAACTTACCACATGGGCGGGCAACGCTTTGGCCGTTGTATATCTAACTTCTATATACCTAGAATGCGCATTGTACATATTTGCCTTGTATTTGACATTCGTAAATACAACTTTATGAAAATGTGTGCAGGTGTGTGTATCTCACGTTTATACCATCTTAAAATACCCTAAATAAACTGATGCAGTATTCATATTTATATTATTACAATAGGCTGACCTTCCTATTGTAATAATATAAATAAACAAACTGCCGAATATAATGAGAAAGGGTAAATTTAATTGAATGCAAGGTTACAAAGTTTATCTAACGATCGCGAAAATGTTTAATTGTTAACGCTCAAAACATTGTATTTAAGGAGGTTTGATTGGCCGAGGAGATATCCGACATCAGTCACATTGTCTTTTCACATAATAATGGACCAGCCACATATTCTGTTTAAAACGATGCTGATAAAATTGCTGCTTAAACAAATGAACAGTGACCTCGGAAACCACAACTATTGTGATATTCATCATCGTGTTATTTCACACTGTTTCAGCTGCAGGTAGGTAATTGTATGTAAGTATTCTTTCTCTACAAAGAAGGTTCAATTCATATGCAACATTGATAATATTAATAACCCACAACAATGCGACTGACATTGATCCTTATGGGAATGCAGCTCAATTAAGCGCAGTGGGCCAGCTAATGCGACTAATGAATAACTATAGTTTACACGATAGGCGTTTGTTGCTCGTTAGCTAGTCGGAGAGAACAAGGTCGGGTGATGTGGAGCAAGGTCAATGTGGACGAAGTCTTGAAGTGATAGCGCGACCTCTGCATTCATTATCGACTCGAGATCACAACGTGCGCCAGCTGCACACTACATTTCTACCAGGAGATGACAACAATAAGAAATATTTTATTACATTTATGAGCAGTACGCTTACTAGGGCGTAGTGAATCGCCTTCGATAAGCATAAATACAATTTGCCGTATGATAACATAAAATTAATTGGAAGCACGTTTCGCTGCGCCTCCACAATAAAATACATAATTTAATTTAATTTTATAATAATACGATTGTGACTTCACGACCAATTTATTACAGACGCATTATTAAAACGGAAATATTGTAACAAGTCGCAACGTCTCCATGGAAACTTGTGCAACTTTTTGTGTCCCGTTATAATATTAAGTTTTTTAAGACGCATTACTTGCAACCTACATTCGTATATACCTGTAAGGTATAATTATGACTAAAAATACATAAATAGCATTCTTATAATTGCTGTCTATTTCGAGCAATTGAAAAAGTGGTTAGTACTGTCTAAAAGCTTTCGGTGGCATCATGGTATCCATTAATCACACCAATAAGTAAAGTTGGAACAAAAAGTAGGCTGTCATGGTAATTGATGGCAGCATTCGCTACACTGTCACAATTAAATGGTGGTTCAAATGGAGCAGGTGTACAAAAAACAAAGTTCTTGGAAACGAGAGAGCGTTCAAAGAACCTGTTATGTAGGTACCTGCACGACATGAGACGACTAAATGCATTTTGCGCATAGTCTAATGATGTCATCCAGGATATTCGAAACGTAAAAGGCTACTTGGAAAAATACTACCTATACAAATTCACTCTCACAAGGTGACACCGGTAGCGGTGCTTTTACTTGCAGACGAACGTTACTCATGGCACCATCTGCCTGGAACCGATCACTATATTTTCCAACTTTATTATTTATATTTTTTTGAAAATTCTTTAATATCTGACACAGATACGTAAATAAAATCATAACAATAATTAAGTTCGTAAGTAGGTAATGTCCAAAACCAGAATCAAGTCCAAAATCTAGCACACATCATAGCCTTCTCATTTTTATCGAATTCACTAAGTACACCCGTTTACCATAGCATATAAATATAAGAATATTGTAACTGAACCTTAATTGATTTTAAAGCCTGAATAACTGAATCTTAATTATCCTTATCCTTTGAACGAAGTTCAAATTTTTTGACAATTAAGTAGATATTTTTTTACGATAGTAATCACTGACACCAGAACGCACATTTTAAACCCCAAAAGATCTGTCTCCTAAACTACTTCAGACAAACAACGGTTCATTTATAACAAATTCTTAGAAGTAATATTTTTTCAATATATCTGTAATACTTGCTCTTTTTTTATCGTAAGGCGTTCTGAGAACACTTGAGAAAATATCTACAGCCCTAAATAATGACGTCACCACTCAGACTACTAAGTTGATTTGAATCGCAACAAAGTCAGAAACTGCGTCACCCAATGGAAGCAAAAAGTTTAAGCGGCGCTTATTTTTCATTCAACCCCTGGGATGACCGCTACGTCATCCCTAGAACGTCAAAGTTGATGAGTCATAGGTATTTTTATACAGGACTTAGAATAAGTTAAGTGCGTCATTGACTGGGTATTCGAGACTTTTGTGTCCTTTTACGGTGAACCGCAATATTGACGACAGAGTACAATACATCTGCCATTACATCAAATCTGCTCGTGGGTGTCTTAACTCGTAAAAAGCGATTAAGAGACTAAACATTTCATAGAGATAGTAGCACTCTCCAATAAACCCGAACTTTAAAATGTGAAGATTGTAGTTATCACAATTGTTGGCTAGTTGGTTGAGGAATAAGATTTATTGTACCTGCCGCATTCAAGTTTTCAGTTTCGACCACAAGTAAAATGTTATTAGGCTATTGGATTTCTTATTATATCTTGAAACATAAAGGATTTGATAATAATTTATAAAAGATTTATTGGTTCTCGGGGGTTTTTTATTTCAAACCTTTTTTTTTTGAGCTTTTTGACCTAATTTTAATCCGAAGGATTTTTGCAGTCATATTGTCACAACTCGGACTGTCTAACGGTAAACGATGCATGTGGATGTGTAGTGGTGGATGTCACTATAATTATTATTACTATTGAACATAAACACAAAACTTAGAAAAATAAGTTTATTGCTCTTAAATAATATGGTTTACATCTGCCGTTGGTGTTACATATTTCAAACCAATTCCTTTAGGAAATTTCGTAGATTGAAAATGTCTTCCAATGGTCCTCAAAAAGTCACTTCGTTTTGGGTCTTGTCCGTTGGTTTTAGCAGACGTATGGTTCTGGGTGTTATTAGCTTAGTTGAGTTCATCGGGGAGGGCGACAACAGGGTTAACCTCAACTTCGGGGAGGGCGGGCTCGGGCATAACGACGGGCTCGGGGATGACGACCTCAGGGAGGACAGGCGCGGGCATGACGACGGGCTCGGGGATGACAACCTCGGGGAGGACGGGCTGGGGCATAACGACGGGCTCAGGGATCACAACCTCGGGGAGGACAGGCTCGGGCATGACAACGGGCTCAGGGATGACGATTTCGGGGAGGACGGGCTCGGGCATAACCACGGGCTCAGGGATGACAGGGACCTCATTGACGGCCTCATCGACAACGTGGACGGGGGTAGGCTTGATGGGCTCAGGCACGATGGCGGGGCCAACGGCGACGTCCGAGGGAGCATCGACGTTCACGATGATCTGCACAAGGGGCAGAGGGTTGGCGGCGGCCACAGCCAGCAGGGCGAACAGGGCAACGAAGGATTTCATTGTGATGGGTTGAGTTTTTTACTGAAACAAGAGATTACATGCTATTATTGGATTTGGCTCCCACCATAATATTTATACGTTTGGTAATCAGATAAAAATTACTTTATGGGTTTGAATGAAACTGTATATTGAACATTTAAGGATGGATCAACACAGTTATGCAATATTTGGAATAGCATTAACAGAATTAAAAAATTAAAAGCTAAAAATATGACCAATACCACTAAGGATTTTAATGTAGTCATGAAAAGAAAAACAAGAAAAATACAATAAAATAATAGTACATTAGTTTTTGGATTAAAAGTCACAATTATTATTTAAAGAAATATTTGGTTTTTTACTTACCTTGCTTTGTCAAAGAGCAAAGAGAACTATAATTTCTAGTGTGACAACGCCCAGTTTTTATACAAAATGTAAAGCCATAAAATACGTATTGATACTTTATCAGATTACTACAATTGTGGATTAATTTATATCGAAAATATAAATTCTGCTAATAAAATATATGTTTAGTAGACTCTTCCTGTTTATCGTTATATTGTACATAATTGTTATTACAGAGCAGTAGGCAGTGATGTCGTTTTTAGGCAGATTATTACGTAATGTGTTAATCCCCTATGAAGGGAAAAAAGTTCGCTAATGTGTAAATGTAATCCAAAACATATATTAAAACTAGTCAGATTCTATTCAGATTAGTCAAATTCAATATTTTTTTGAAATGTCAAAAACGGTAGAAGTCTCTTTATCATTCGTATGAAATCACTGTAAGGAGACTGCTAATTGTGGCGTCATATATTTTTGCGTCAAAAGTTTTATTTTAAATTTGTTTTATTAATATACATGACTAATTAAAGGAAAACTGTAATTAAGCTTAGTATAATTAATTGTTAATTTTAGAACAAGGAAAAACCCTATTATGTGTAAAAACCATGACCTACGAAATAAACAGAAACTAAATGTTAAATAGCTAACAAGACCGATCCAAAAATTCTCTGTGGCAATAATAGCTAGGAAAGAGCTTAATGTATTCGACACACCTACAGTCCTACAATCTTCATAGGTCATTAAAAAAGAGGTGCGCAATATAACATCTAACTCCATAACGAGCTTAATACTACATTCATGTAAATTAAGTTAAAAAGTTTCAGTCACGATTCCAGGTATACCGCCATGGGTTCGTCCTCTTTGATGTTCACTAATAACATAGGAAAGGTCATTCACCTTCACTTAGGTACTCATGAATGTAGGTTCTTGCATTACCTAGTACCTACCTACTTGGTGAAATGCAGGGTATGCAATTTCACTTTGTACTGAATATTGGTTAAATGAAAGTTAGAACTACACATAACATAACATCACGGTTTTTATCCCCGATGGGGTAGGCAGAGGTGCACAATATAGCACTTAATGCCACTGTACAATGTTACACCCACTTTTCAGTAGGTAATTTTCACTATTTTGTTATGAATCCCATGTGAGGCAGGTGGTGAGCCTATTGCCATACACCGGGGACAATTTCAGGCTCCGTGCCACTACTGGGTTTTTTTTTATAAAAAAAACCACAAATACTTTGGCCGACCCGGGAATCTAATCCGAGACCCTTTGCCAGGCAGTCGCACTTGCGACCACTCGGCCAACAAAGCACTCTGAAACTATTTTTATTATTTATAATTTCTCATTACGGTAGGATTAAACTGTCAAACACCAAGCGGTCACCGGTGACCGCAACCTATTGTTCTATAATTGTGTCTACAAAACCGGTACTCGACGAGTTAATACGTCATAACAACTTTTAAGCAGCCATTTTTAGTACCAGTTATTTTCATCATCCGCAATATTTAACTGTCCCACTGCTGAATAAAGGCTTTCACTGACACTACGAGAGAATAAACATTAACCATCACGATTGCTTAAACAGGAATGGCGATTTTAAAATTGTAAGTTCAGATTTTCTCATGATGTTTTCCTTCGCAATATTCAGCGATAAATAAACGAAAGAGACTTAGAAAGCTGTTACCCTTATGTAAAAAATAGCACATATTAAATCTACCTTTACAGTTTACACACCCCAATTCGACATAGATATCCAAAATACAAAAATGTAGGAAGACCTGTGGACAAGTGAATTATCAGTTAAAATTTTCATTTTAAACTGATAGGCTATCTTCATAAAGTCAGGACGTCAAAATGATGCCGCAGAGAGAATGTCGAAACAATACAACGCGAAAGTAAGGAACGAAAGGTCGGAAGCAAGCCCGACCTATCACGACCAAATAAAACGTATGCGCCTCTGAATGTGGAACTCTGCAATATTAGTGCTTCCCTGGTAACATATCACATCTAAGTTTGCTTCGGCACGAATGGGCCGGCTCGACAGGATAGTGATACCACGGCCTCACGTGAAGTAACGCTTGTGTTGTATTCCGTCGTGTGAGTGAGGTTACCGGAAGTCCAATTACCCCTACCCCCTTCTCCAATCCTTGAATCTTCAACAATTCTCAAACTTCTAATCCCCAAAAGGCCCGTAACACACTTATAACGCCTCTGGTGTACCAAGTGTCCATGGGCGATGATCATTGCTTACCATCAGGTGATCCGTCTGCTCGATTACCGGCTTATCTCATAAAAAAAAACATCTCTTCAATGGGACATTAATATCGTAACCAAAATTGTGTATACGAAGGAATAAGAGCATTTTATATGAAGATTCAATTTAATACTAATTTTTCACTAATAATGATCTCCTAGAAGTAGGTACCTAAGAGGTGAGTCTATTGTCATATTATACCGAGCACAGTTTCAGACTCCGTATTAATCCCTGAACAGTAGAGTTTTTAATTCGTCAGTTATGTTATAAATTCCATATACAACAATGAAATTATTACCGCACAAAGGATAAAAGAATGTTTAAGGGCCGATTTTGCCACCGTCAGATAAATTTTGTCACAATAACGATTTCAAATATTTGACAAATTTTCCATATTACATTACCGCTAAATTAAATTAAGTCAATTAAAGCCTGTCATTGATAACTATTTTCAACATACATAACTTTACACCTTTTATCCCCTAAGGGGTACACCTGCACATACGGCACTTAATGCCACTATGTAATGTAACACCCACTTGTCACTATTTTATGTTATGAGTCCCATGTAATAGCCAGTGAGCCTTTTGCCATATACCGGTCACAATACCAAACTCCGTGCGAGATTTGATTTGCAGCTTTCGATTGCTGAGATTTTGACTCGTGCCGACCCTGAATCGAACCCAAGACCCCTTGCCTGGCAGCCGCACTTGTGCAGGCAGCCGCACCACTCGGCCAATGAGGCAGCAATTTCAACTTAATTTGTAAATGGTGTGACTAACCCAACTTCGTTTTAATAGTATAGAATGTAGACACAGTTCTCAATCGAGGGTAACAGTAAATAAGTCCAAGGTGCAAAGTAAATTCCCAGCTAAATAGTCACGTACGCAGCTATTAAGTGCAAAATCCACTAACCATGATTAATTTAAATATAATATTTAGGTATGTATGCCTTATTTTCATTTTCATGAATAATCTTCTCTAACATCATATACATATATTAATCTTCTTCTTCTAAATTTCATTGGTTTCAATACAGAACTTCGTATTTTCTGTTCTCCTAAAGTTCCCTAAAATAAGAGTATCTTGTAGATAAAATTTTTCCAATAAATATTTTCTCAATTACATAAATTTCCAAATTTGAAAATCTGGTCATAAAAATCATTTTCCAAATTAGAAATGTAAGTATTTTGGGATCCCCTACAATTTCAAGAAAACCTTTCTTAGTGTAATATACTGAAACTACTCAGTAATAAAAGGGTTTAATGTTATATCGATAAATAATGATTATTGTTGATGACACAACTAATCTAATGACTGTCATAACACGATACCGACTAAGTCAATTTATCAAAAATTAACTGTCTTGTAAGGATTAGGATTAAAATATTAGTCACTTAAGTACTATCTTAAACACAATGTGTCATGGCATGGCAGGAAAAAGGCTAGAAAAACATAAACATATGTACATAACGAATACCTGAAATTTTGGTTTATCATTCAAAAATAGAATGAAATAGTCGACTTTCAACAATAATCAACAGGAAATAAATTGTAGCTTATGAAAATCTGAACGAAAGCGCAGTCGGTACCAGGCAGTCCTACGTGCGTCCGCGCATTGGAAAACTCGGAAAACTAGCGAGCGAGCTGACCACTCGAGGCTTGAGAAACATCGTGTTTATCCGGTGGCTTCCACTCGTATATTACATTAAATCCCGTATATTTCCCCTGTAGGCTCGTTAAATTTGTGGTGTGAGTTGGAAAGCCTGCGCAGGCGCCGGCTACGTGAGCGCATGTACCTCCCGCCACGTTTCGCGTGGAAACTGTGCCACGTCGCGCCTTCTCTCAGTAAAAGTACTTTCTTCAAGCCGCTTTCGGAAACTCGTCTAGAACAAATTTCCTCGGTATAGTAACCTTGTACTATGTGACATAAGGCGACGCCTGCGCATGCACTATAATTAGACGTGTCGGTCGTTAATAGCGTACTGAGAACCCGCAATCGATACTGAATGCTCCGCCTCGCTCGATCGTGAGAATTATCATCGTAACATTAAGGTGCGCTCCTCTATCGGTGAAACAATAGGATCTTGCGATGATTCAGTGCAATCGTTTAGTAAAATTATGAATATCTAAACTATAAATGCCTTGTTAATATATTAATCGGCAGCCAGAACACACCTTTCGGGTTGATTCGATTTATTGTAATGACCTCGTGCAATCAATTGTTTAAGCCTCAGTAAAATCTTTGAAAAGTCCTTGTTGGTTATCTTTGTACTTAATTCTGCTCAAAGTCACGGGGATTCGTACCGTAGAAATTCAAGGAAAAAATGACTTTCCTGAATTCCTATTATTTACATAATGTACATAGTTAAATATGTATAATATAGTTCCTTTATTTTGTCACACAAGGGAATACCTCTATAACATGTACATAGAAGATATAACTTAATAATATAATTGACTTAGGGTCGATTTTTCAATCATCAGTTAATTCTTAACTTTATCTAAAGTATATTTAGGGTCAATTTTCCGATGATAGATAAATATTGACTAAAGAATAACTTTAAACATTTGACTATCATCCATACTAAGAACTGTCAAGTATCAATTTTATTTCTGATTGGAAATATCCTAATTTTCGGAAGTGTGTTAATGTAATTGACGGAAAATGAGACGTTTTTCCATAGAAAATGTGTCATAATATGTGTCAGAAAAGCTTATGAAACAGGCCCTACATGTTTAACTTAACATTGGGTATGAAACTTTTTATAAGCATGCACTAATTTGGCATTGAGCTTCCAAATTGTATTAGGCGTACCGATTTCGAAATAGGTATCACCTTGTTATTTAAACAATAG